GTGTGTGTGTGTGTTAGACAGACATCAGTAATAATGAATGTTGCCTGTGTTTGACAGGAGATCTATCAGAGGCTGGTGAATCTCAGTGTTTATCTACATGCACTCCAGGTGAGTAAAGCTGAAGTAAAGCTTGTTTTTAAGGGTTGTAAGAGTACTTAAAAGAAATATAAACCAAAGGCATATTTCATTTCTTTTTGTGAAGAATACTAAAATAAAATGTTGTCAGTTTGAATTTGTATTTAAACTTTAAGCAATTTCATAGGATAAGGGCACAGTGAAGCCACTGCTATGTGGTCATCACTGATTACTGAACCATAATGACCAGCTGCTTTTTTCATGGAGTTAATTCTTTGCCCTATTGTATTTCTGGCAGCAGGACAGTGTGTGTGTGTAATTGAGTCCATATAAACTAAAGTGTGTGTGTTCACAGAAGGAACATTCAAATCAATTCAATTCAGTTTTATTTGTAGAGCACCAATTCATAACAGAAGTTATCTCAGGACACTTCTCAAAAAGAGCAGGTCCAGACCGAACTCCTTATAAAATTATTTAGACCCAACAGTTCCCACCATGGGCGAGCACTTGGCGACGGCGGCAAAAAAAACATCCTTTTAAGAGGCAGAAACCTCGGACAGACCCCAGCTCTAGGTGGGTGGCCGTCTGCCTCGACCAGTTGGCGTTAGAGAGAGAGGGGGGTGGGGGAGTAGAGGGCTAGAGGGGATGGGTGGTAATATGTCATGCAATGCAAGCAGTGTGCTTTTTTGGAATAAAATGCACAGAAGAAGAAGATATACTTATTATCAGCCAGCCAGCTACAAGATGAATCTACTTCCACCACCTAAAGCAGGGGGTCTTAAAACTCAGCTATATTGTAATTTATGTCAATTTTCAATCTGTAAAACTGGATCCTCTATCACATCCTACAGGGTGCTATCATAAAACAAGACTCCATCTTGGAGCTGCTGCTGCTGCAGCCACAGGACGCCTTGTCGCCAGCTACAGGAGGAGTATGGCGCCCGCTTTGGCGAGATGGTGTCAATCGGGAGGCCAGTGCAGGGTCAACCATTGGGGAGCTGGCTCTTTTGCAGAGACAACACAGCCTGCTGCAGGAGGAGCTGCTGAGGCTGCGGGATGCCGAGAGCCGGTTCAAGGACAGTGAGAAGGCCCGGGTCAAGCTGGAGCGGCAGGTCCGACATATGAAGGTCTGCAGCGGGGCTGCACCGGCCTCCCAGCAGCTGGAGGAGCAGGCTTCTCAAGTAAGGATTGCAATGCCATAAAGTGAAAGCTGGAGTAACTTTTATAAAAATAACTTTTTGTCAAATTTGCATGAGTACATGAGGCAGATAATCTGTGAAAATGTTTTTCTTCAGTCTCTTTTGTCTTCTCTTCCTTTTGCAGCCTGTATCTCTGCAGACAGGAAGGGAAGCTTTAACTGGAGCTGACACCCCGCGGGCCAGCCAGGATCATTCCCACCAATCAGATGGCCTCCAGGACGGGAGTGATTTGGAGGTAGACATGACGTCAGATGATGATGATGGGTCGGAATCTGAAAGCTCCAAAGGTCAGATTACAGACATCAACACACAATGACTGTGAATGGTAGCTACATCAGGCTATAATGTGCTATATAATATGCAGTCCATATACTTGTATTTATACAGCACTTTTCTGGTCTTCTGATCACTCAAAGCGCTTTACACTACATACTGTATGGCAGAGGCTGTTATGCAAGGTGCCAACTGCTCATCAGGAATGATACAGCGCTTGCTATTGTGTGTGCTCAAAATAGGAATGTAAAGATATATCACAAAACAGTTAAATCGCAAAGTATGTGAAGATTCAAACTGGTCACCTCCTAAGAGGAAATGTTTTTCACAGTTTATACCCTACCTCAGTAATAAAAAAGGATTCTATAATTTGAAAAAGAAAATTTAAGAGAAAATATATTTTGTAGATTTTCATCTGAGAAATCGTGAGTTGCGTGTAACATTCCATCCCCAGCTCACAATGATACTAAGCTCATACATACCCTCACACAATTTGGGGTTCAGTATCTTCTTTAAGGACACTTCAACATGCAGCAGGAGGAGCTGGGGATCAAGCTGCCAACCTTCTGATTAGTGCACAACCCTCTACCTCCTGAGCCACCCTGATATTCAGTTATTACTTCCAGAAAACTTGAAACAATTTAAAGAGCAATACTACAATGTGTGAGAACACTTTGTGACTCTGTAGCAGATTATTGGGTTGTAACTTAAAAAATGTGTTATAGAATCAAGACCCAAATGAAATTCATTTTCAGGACTGAATTTTGATTTGTTCTCTCTTTTCCAGATCTTCAAGATATTCCAGAAGAGATCTGATCTCTCTCTCTGCATGTTCAACAGTGCTAATGAGCTTAATTGATTATGATGTAAACTAATTGACTCTGGCCAATATGCCACAAAGTACAACAATGCGCCTGCCTAACTTTTCTGCAAGTCTTAATATTTATTCAGCTGCTTTGCATTTGAGTAGATGTCCTGTGGCAGTGAGATGTTTTATTTTTCGGTTATGCTTTGGATTATTTGGATTTCCTTGATTTAATTGCATCACTTGACCAAAGGGGTGTGGAAAACTGTTAAAACTGCAGTAAGTAATAGTTATTAAAAACATTTTTTTTTCATATTTGCTGAAATGTCACTTTATCCTGACAGCAGTTCCTCTGGCTCCTCCTAGTGCTCCTAATGGCATTTGCAAGAATCTACAAAAACAAGCGAAAAAGATGGGTGACTGTTGAGTCTTATTCCATCATCAAATACACACACTTTGGGACCCTGGTAATGAGACTCAACAATCAGCTATGTACAAACTTCCAACCCAAAGTGTCTTTATATCTTTCTCAGCTCTGATTGGTTGTTTTCGCCCATGTCCGGTGGATTCATGCAAATGCCTAGGAGGAGCCAGAGGAACTTTTTCACAGATTATCTGTCTCATGTACTGCTGTCAAAACACTGAAAATTTCAGCAATAATGACAAAAGATTATTTTTATAAAAGTTACCTACTGCAGCTTTAAATCTTTTTAGACAAAATGGACATTAGGGCTGATGGTTAGGGCATAACATAAGCATTGGTAATCTTTAGTTATTTTTATGTCTTGCAAAAATAACTGTAAGGGGGGTTTATTATTATATCTCCCAAAATCAGGGAATTTGTTAGTATTTAGTTATATATAACAATAATAATAATACAAAGAGCTGGGTAAAAATTTGATTTTTTAATTACATATAAAATGTGTCTTCTGCATGAGGCATTAAACTTTGATGTGACAGTTTCAGCAAAATAAAAAAGAAGTCACAAGGGAAAAAAGTTTCTATTTCTTGTCAGAAACATCACCAAGACAGCAGCCCACATAGAAATACATATATAAATATCTAATAAACATAGATAACAAGCACAATCTAAAGCATTCCAATACAACTGCCCTGCAATAAACCATGTTGTTACAATGCAATCATACTCAGGTTTTGTTAAGAGTGTGTCAGACATCTGTCTTTGGTAACAAACTATAAAATATGCCACATTTATGTGACTAATCTCATTCTCTTGAACAATCTCATTTAAACTCCAACATGTTTGTTTTATGGATCTGTCACAGGGACACACAAAGTCACAAGCATTTAGGCCTGACAGCCAGGTGCGTGTCCAGACATTTTTCACTGTGGTGGAGTTGTGGAGTTATGGAGTTGGTTCACAACACAACAGTGACACCACTTAAATACAACATATATTTTAATATTTGATTTAATACGTGATTCTTATAAAACTTGATTCATAGCCAAAATTGTGCCTAAATTTGGGACGTTATTTAGTGCCTTTGCCAACAAGTTAGCAGCTTGTTATGCTGGCAAATTAGACCAAATTGACTAAAACTAAAGACATTTCCTAAAAGTTATTATTTACTTTTTTTATATGTTTCAACATTTTCACTGCATTCTAAAAGTAGTACATGAGACAGATTCCTCTCTTCTCTTTTCATTCAGGCCCGGTGGATTCTTACAAATGTCATTAGAGCACTAGGAGGAGCCACAGGAAGTTTTAGCAAACATGTCAAAAGATTATAAAAAATAAAATAAAATTGGAATTTTTCAATTCAATTTTATTTGTATAGCTCCAATTCATAACGTAAGTTATCTCAGGACACTTTTCAAATAGAGCAGGTCTAGACCGAACTCCTTATAACATTACCCAACAGTTCCTTAGATCAGGCAGAAACCTCGGACAGACCCCTCAGCTCTAGGTGGGTGGTC